TTTCCGACAATTTTTTGAAATAACTCGTAAATTTGATTGCTTTGTAATTAGCATGATTTTGATAATATCATTCGTTCCTAAGTCTTAATATTAAAATACTTTTTATTAATCATTTAACATCCTATTAATATCAAAATGTTTGATGAAAAATTTTGCGAACAATACTATTAGAATGCCACTTACAATTACACAAATTTCAATATACATCTCATATAAACCCAGAACTTCACTTCAATACATCTTCAAATCCAAATTTAATTCACCATTTCTAAACCATTGCACGTATAGGTAAGATGGTATATATGTAGAAATTCAAGTTTAGGCGTTAGACATGAAAATATATAATAATTGAGTGCTATGTATGTAAGACTTCCTAAATAATTTAGTAAATGCATACCAACTCAAGTTTAGTAGGAAATCAACGGTTCATAAAACTCGAAGTAGGTCAGGTTTGGTATTTATTGGAGAAAAAAAAAAGAATGTATGCAATTTCAAAATTCGTAGCACATTACAAAAGAATCCATTACCTGAATAACATGTGCAACATTCGGTATGTCAAGACCACGAGCTGCAGCATCCGTGCAAACAAGAACCCCACCATTTTCTCGAAAATCTATCAAATTATTCGCCCGTTCCTCGAGGGAACTCTCACTATGGTAAGAAGAGCATTCGATTTCAGCAATACGAAATATTTTAACCACTGATTCAGCAGCAGCGACGGTATTAGTGAACACCATGGTCCTGCAGACATCATCAATGGAGCTTCCCAGTTTTTTTACATGACAGGATTTTACAGCCTTTAGAAGAGCTTCTACCTTAGTATCAGTAGTAACTTCTATCCATCTTTGTTCCAATCTACAAGAACGGAAAAATAAGAGGGAAATTAACACAATATTTTGGTCACATTATCAATCATGACAGCCACAAAAATTTTCTCAGAAAAATAGTAAAGAAAAAGAAAAATGGTTCAAAATTTTGTTGAGGTGGATATAAGCAGAAGAACCTATAAATGACATGTTAAGATTAAGCATGATTTGCAACATATTGCAGACAACTAGCACAACCATAGACGTGATAGAATAAAAAATTGAATGACACAGACAAACATGACCATAAATATAAGGGATAGACGTGATAGAATAAAAAATTGAATGACACAGATAAACATGACCATAAATATAAGAGGCATTTACAAAAATAACACCCAATTCTTATGTATTTACTTATCTAAAACCTAAACTTTAATTTTACATTTTTACCAACTAAATCTTTCAGATCAAATTAAAAAATACCACAAATTTAACTTTTAAATATTGAAATAAACATTTTCATGCACAGGGAAGGTGATATGTTTGTAAAACTTGAAGTTTAGGTGTTAGATATGTAAATACGAAAGAATTGAGTGTTATGTATGTAAATCTTCCTCAAAATAAAAGCTGGATTAGAATGACATTGTGATCAATAACGTATGACCAAGGAAATAGTACAAACCTGGGATTGTGTTTATGAAGAAAATTCCCATTAACCCAAATGGCATCAGGAAACATCCTTTTCAATAACCCACCAGCAGTTTTTTTACCATTTACTGGAAGGGTGGCAGCAACAAACATATATTGCTTACTGCGCAAATAAACTTTTCTTACTCTCCTCCAATCCTTAATTGGAGCCTCAACCTCATTGACATTGTTCATCGAAATTTCAAAATTTACTATATCATTTTCACTCTCAACATCCTGGTCGCTGACAAGCTGCAGTTGTTCCTCGTCTTCGGATCCAAACTTTGTTTCTCGTCTTTTACTCACATCATCTGAAAGATGGTTTTCAGGGTTTCGCATCTGAGACACCAGCTTCTCTTCGAAACGTAACATATTTATTATTCGAATAATTTGGTTTTGAAAGCTTCCGCAAAGAAGCAAATCTGCTTCATCAAATACCTGTGAGCATACAAAACTGTTATATAAGCAGCACTGAAGAACCCAAATGTATATTTCATAAGTAAATCATCCCAACCATGCAAACACAAACGAAGTCACAGCATATAATAGCTTGGGAGGAAACATTAAAGATGGCCACTCCAATAAAAGGAAATACAATCAAGAGAAGAAATTACCACGGATTTGACATTGCGTATGAAACTATCGCGGCGTCTTTCTTTGGGGTCAAATTCAAAAAGGTAGTTCAAAAGAGAAGCTGGGGTCGACACGAGAATATCGGGTTCAGCTATAGGCCATCCCTGTGGTTTAAGTGACAAATATTAGAAATATGATTTAAACAATATAGAGAAAAAAAACGAACTTGCAATTCATCCAACGATAAATTCTTAAAACATGTGGAGCAAACTCCCAACAAGATACGTGATCAAATAAATCATTACAGATTATGGTAATCAGATGATCACTTTAAAAAGAAGCTTTTGTAGTTGAGCTTACTCGTTGCCCACATACAGCAGCAACTTTTACGAGTGGTTTACCAAAATCATCCACAAGACTGTCTGCCATCTGAACTACTTGCTCGCATAGCATCACATTTGGGCAAAGAACCAAAGACATTTTTCGTGATTCAGTAATTTCTTTAGCACTACTAGTTTCAGGATCAGAATTTCCACACAAGTTGTGAATCAAAGGAACCAGGTAGCTGTGTGTCTTGCCGCTACCGGTCTCTGCAGCAACTATAACATCACTGCCTGTTAGTATATGTGGTATGGATGCAGCCTGCCAAGCCCAAAGGGATGTATTAATTAAGACACATTAATATAACATACAAATAAAATGGGTTAACTTCAACACAAGTAAGTAAATATTTACACAATTAAAAATGCAAAATACAATGACACCTCAAAGTTAAAAGAAATTGGAGACCTTGGAATGTTGTCAGCAATAAGTGGGAGGAAAAAATTACACAGATGAGAAATGTAGGACTAATCCTTCAACCATGCAAAGGACAAAAAGTGACATAGATTGAATGATTTTATAGTATTTTAATATCATAAAAGATGAATCTTGTACTGCACTAAAATTAGGTCTGAAAATAAGTTATCAAAACATTGAAATTAGTATTGCACTAAAATTAGGTCTGAAAATAAGTTATCAAAATGTTTGAGCATGACGAAGTGACAAATAATAGATTTCAAAGGCAAAAGAAAATCAAAATTTTATAAAAGATGCATATTGGTTCTATTTTACAGATGATTGACCTTACATAGTGGCTAGGAAAAGTAATAGTAAAGCATGAAATTAGTATCAGAATTTACTTGAGGTTTTTAATAACGATCTCATAAAATTTATTTTAGGTCTCTACAATGATGATGACGACAATAACGAAAAGTGTTGCATGTTGGAATATCATGATCATGGAGGAAAATAAAATATTTTCTTACTTCATATGAAGATTCCACGCACAGTCATAAAGTAAATACAACAAAAGAAATATGTGAATTTTTTCACATAAAAAATAAGGAGAGAGAAAATTCATAACGTCAAAACCAATTGAATAAATTTCCATTAGTTATAGTTACATATTGCAGAGGGTCACCCCTCCCTAAAACTAAAGAAGGGATAAGAAAAAAATGTAAGAGATGAATCTTGTACTGCACTAAAACTAGTGAACATCTCCTATGCTAATGGTAAATGACGTGGATAAGGGTTTACAAGGAGCTCATAAAGTTCCCTTGCCACACACAACAATAAAAACATAGGGGCAATAAGCAAATCTTAGCAATCCCAAATAGTTATATTACCCATAACTCATATAGAAAGTCATTTAGGATCACTTGTATGGTAATGCAACATGTATAATGGCATAACAACAACATCACAAAACATGCAAGAACATACATACATCAAAATTCTCATGAGTGAGACTAGACATATATAGTGCATGATGGGTGTTGTGTATGTTACCTAACATGATCAATAGCCACCGTATCAATCTCCTACACATGGATTTGTAACGTTAACGTGTGTAGAAACGCATAGATGCTAAAATCTCTCGCTAACACCGGGTGATGATATGTAGGCATGCACAAAAATGCACATAGATTAATGACATTTATGCAATAGACAGATAAGATGTCACCAAAACTATTTGATAGATAATAATAATATAAAGGAAGATTTACATACATACCAATCACTTCTTATGAATTTACATATCTAACACCTAAACTTCAATTTTTACATATTTGCCACTTATGCATGAAATAGTGTATTTCACTTCTTTAAACTTAAAATAGTAGTATTTTAATGTGACATGAAAGATTTGCGTGGATAACTGTAAAAAGTAAAAAGTAAAATTTAGGTGTTATAAATTGTTGAATCCTAATTTGTAGGAAAATCACACCTAAGGATAGAGCGTAAATAAGAAGAGGAGTGAATAATAATGAACAATGATAAGCCTTATTTTATTCATAAAATGATTCTCCTATTTATAGAAGAGATGATACAATGACGATATTATATTTTTGTCCCTGCTTTAAAAGAGTCTGTGGTGGGGCACTAGTGTTATTTTATATATATGAGGTTATTGCTCAGGTACTCTCGCACTCAGCTTGCTAAGCTTAATTGGCTTCGTGACGATATGATTGGCTTGATCAGCTTAGCTTGGTTGGCAAAATCAATTTGGTTGGCTGAGCCTGATCAATACGAGTCGATCAACTGATCTCGTATGACTGTCGTATTTTTATAACTGATGAGGGACCACTGGACGTTCTATGATGGTTGGAGATGTTGAGGAATTGGATATTCCCTCTATTGGAGGATTGATTCTTTCTTCGGATCAGTTATCCCATGATGGTTGGTCTAGATGTCTCTTTGTCTCGTTTTTTACTAAATCGTTCGGGCTCAAAACATCTTTTTGCCTGTCTCACGGCTCGGCCAGCTTTGGCCTTGCTGGTTTTGGCTCGGATAGCTTTACTCGGTCAGACAAGTGTTAGTGCTTTTGTGGCACCCTTTCTTTCTGAACTGTTAGATCTCTAAGGATAAGCGCTGCCACATTCTTTTATGTACGAACATGTAAATAGATAGGAATTGAGCGGTTCGTATGTCATAAGAGCCCAGGCAACAAAACAACAAACACTACATACAATTCCGGTGCAGGAATTACGTCAAGCATCAGAAATGGAATACCGAGCGGCCACAGAAAACAACACTAGGCTAACCCCAAAGACGCTAGAGAAGAAGAGCCCGTTACCTGGACCCCAGAGGGCCTGTGCAGCTCAAAGCCGGAGAGAGCTCGGATAAGGCGGTCGGAGATTCTCAGTGACTGCCAGGAGACGCCTTCCTCGGCGAAAAAGCTTCCACCTTCGCCCTTCTCACTTCCTTCCGCGGACTTATGCTGAGAAGAGAAGGTTCGCGCGATCAAATGCCAACGGAGCTGCGGTGGAGAGGTAAACCGGCGAGCGCGACCGAAGAGGAAAATAGTCGGGAGGGGCGCGCCGGCGGCCGGTGAAATATAGCCGAGAAGAGTATGTCGAAGTGTATGCATGTGGGAATGTGATAGCGCTCCAGGCTTTCAGATGGACATATTTAAATAAGTTATTAGCCATAGAGGAGTCGGGTCTGAAGAAAAATTATTGTATTAGGTCCAATGAAATCATATCAGTTAGAGCTACAGAAAAATAATTGTCCGTCAATACTTATTCCGTGTTATTCAGTTACTATTGTATGTTATTCATGTGTTATTGTATTTTAGGAATATTCTAGGTGTTATAATAATACAATAACACATAAATAACACACAATAACACCATAATAACACTCAATAACACATGAATAACACGAAGGAATATTTTATTGTGTTACCGGCAGATTTTATTTTTTTCCTGTCACCACCACATGACGTGATTTCATTGGACTCTGCACGTAACTCTACGTGCGGAGGCACGTAACTCTACGTGCGGAGTCCTGATGCAATATTTTTTCCTTAGTATAAGTGATTTTAATTGTTATATAAAATGCATTCGAAATGGAAATATTTATTTTCCTAAACACAATTAAAATATTTTAATCTCTTAAAATTTTAAAAATAAAAATACTATTATAAACCTTAAAACAATAGTCTAAAATAATAAATAAATAAATAAATAAACCTCTAATATAATTTTTGTTATAATAGATATTTTCTTATACCATTATGAATTGGAAAATCAAACAGGGCAGACTAATTGAAGGTCAGACAAGTGTTAGTGCTTTTGTGGCACCCTTTCGTTCTGAACTGTTAGCGCTGCCACATTTAGCAAGGCCGTTGGATCGAATAAATTTAAAAATAATAAAATTTAGTAATTTTTAATATATAAAAAAAAATTAAAATTATAAGGATATACATGTTATTTTGAGTACACAAGAAAAGTATTCATGATAAATGTAAAATCACATTTATTATAAAACAAATCATATTATTCATATAATTCATATAACATAAAAATATCATCATTTTAATTTCTAAAAATATTTAATTTTTTTAAAAAATGAAACCGTCTTTTTCTTCTATAAGTAAAGTGGTAAAATTGTAAAAATTTAAATACAGGTGTTTGTTATGTAAATACAAAATAATTAAGTGGTTTGTATTTAATTGTTAAATAAGTAAAGACTCTATTTTTAACATTGTTTGGGCGTTAAAACACGAATGTAGGTACGGGAGAAACTCCCTTCCCCAGCTTCACTCCAAAATTATAAATTTCAAAACCATCCTTCTATCATGACAGTCAATTATATATAGGACCTTCGCAGAGGTAGAAGACATTGTAGCTTTGCTTATTCCGTTCGCCGCCCCATGGCTTGGTCCGATCTCCCTGTAGATCTCATCCGTTGCATCTCCTCCCACGTACCCATTGTTGATATCATCTGCTTCTCCGTTGTTTGCACCTCGTGGAATTCGGCTATTGCCAACAACTCCCATCTTCCAATGCAGTGTTGTCGGAGAGGCCTCCGACACGCTCACCTTTTGTGATCTTACCATCGAACATAGCCGCAACAGCCATCACGATTTTTCCTCCCTCAATAGCCACATTTCTGGCCACCGCTGCATCGGCTCCAAAGATGGATGGCTAGTGGTACTTGACAAAAATGATCTGCAACCTCGTCTCTTCAACCCCCTCACAAAGGCTGAAATGTCCCTTCCATCCCTCTCGACCGTCCCCGGAAACAACGTCAAGTCCTCTGAAAGACTCTGCGATGTACATTTCCAAAAGATCGTTCTCTCCTCTAACAACTCTTATGGAACTGCTGTTGTTATCTATCATTATAAAAAATCAATGGCTTTAGCAAGACCGGGTGATCAGGCGTGGGTTTTGGGCCCGCCACTACCTCCTTACCACCCGAAACATTATAATGAGGAGTATGATGATATTTATTTTAATGAAGAAGAACAAATGTTTTATGTAATAACACATTTTTCAGCGGTGATGTCCTTTAATCTTAATGGAGAAAATGTTAAATTGATCTGTCCAGTAATACAAAAACCATATTTAAAAGACTGTTATTACAAAAACTATATCGTTTTTTTGTCTGGAACTCTTATAAAAATCGAGAGGAGGTTTGGTTATTTTAAAATTGTGGCTGACGATACGTGCATAATAAAGACAGTCGAGTTCAATGTTTTTAAGTTTTTAACCATCAAGGATTTGAAGGATTGCTCCTTATTCGTAGGTTGTAACCAGACATTTTCTATACATCACACCACTGTCTCTGAAATTAGGCCAAATTGCATATACTTCTCTGATCATTTGAATAACTTTAATCGTGATGTTGGGCTCTTTGATTTACATAATGACTGCATTGAGTATTTCCACGACTCAAACTCACTATCTAATTGCCATCCTTCAATTTGGTTTACACCGTCCATTCCATAATGAGTATCTTACTCTTTCAAAGGAAGCATGCAACATTAATGTTCTTTAATTGTAAGTTTGTTGTTTTATATTTGTTGGATAATTTGTTTAGCAATTATGTGGAAGCATTTTTATTATTATTAAATATGTTGTTGTCTCGTCTTTATAATTTGAATAAAATATATTAAGTACTCAAAATGAGTACAACAAGTTTACATATTCAGCACAAGTCTACTTAAATTGATCAAATCGGCAACTTATCTAAATTGCGGATGGAGCGAGCAGCAACTCATCAAAGAATAAATCTTCTTTTCTAAATTGCTTGGTCAGTTATAGGGTTTTGAGGCACCGGATGGCTAGTGGTACTTGACAAAAATGATCTGCAACCTCGTCTCTTCAACCCCCTCACAAAGGTTGAAATGTCCCTTCCATCCCTCTCGACCGTCCCCGGAAACAACGTCAAGTCCTCTGAAAGACTCTGCGATGTACATTTCCAAAAGATCGTTCTCTCCTCTAACAACTCTTATAGAACTGTTGTTGTTATCTATCATTATAAAAAATCAATGGCTTTAGCAAGACCGGGTGATCAGGCGTGGGTTTTGGGCCCGCCACTACCTCCTTACCAACCGAAACATTATAATGAGGAGTATGATGATATTTATTTTAATGAAGAAGAACAAATGTTTTATGTAATAACACATTTTTCAGCGGTGATGTCCTTTAATCTTAATGGAGAAAATGTTAAATTGATCTGTCCAGTAATACAAAAACCATATTTAAAAGACTGTTATTACAAAAACTATATCGGTTTTTTGTCTGGAACTCTTATAAAAATCGAGAGGAGGTTTGGTTATTTTAAAATTGTGGCTGACGATACTTGCATAATAAAGACAGTCTGAGTTCAATGTTTTTAAGTTTGTGCCAGCCGGTGTTGCTTCAAATTGCTCCTACTCTCAGTGGATCCCCATCAAGGATTTGAAGGATGGTTCCTTATTTGTAGGTTGTAACCAGACATTTTCTATACATCACACCACTGTCTCTGAAATTAGGCCAAATTGCATATACTTCTCTGATCATTTGAATAACTTTAATCGTGATGTTGGGCTCTTTGATTTACATAATGACTGCATTGAGTATTTCCACGACTCAAACTCACTATCTAATTGCCATCCTTCAATTTGGTTTACACCGTCCATTCCATAATGAGTATCTTACTCTTTCAAAGGAAGCATGCAACATTAATGTTCTTTAATTGTAAGTTTGTTGTTTTATATTTGTTGGATAATTTGTTTAGCAATTATGTGGAAGCATTTTTATTATTATTAAATATGTTGTTGTCTCGTCTTTATAATTTGAATAAAATATATTAAGTACTCAAAATGAGTACAACAAGTTTACATATTCAGCACAAGTCTACTTAAATTGATCAAATCGGCAACTTATCTAAATTGCGGATGGAGCGAGCAGCAACTCATCAAAGAATAAATCTTCTTTTCTAAATTGCTTGGTCAGTTATAGGGCTGTCAAAATTGTTCGTTGTTCGCGAACAGCTCGTGTTCGACTCGTTAAGAAGCTAGTGTTCGGCTCGTTCGGTAAATTGACGAGCCAAACACGAACAACGCGAACAAATATTTGTTCGTTCGTGTTCGGCTTGTTTTGGCTTGAAATACCAGAGCCTGGGCTCACTGGTGTTCGGCTCGTTTACACCCCTAGTCAGTTACATATATATACCACACGATTGTTGTGTAGTAAAATATCTAGCCCCTAAATCAAGAATGAGCTTTATTTTTAGCCCATTTACTTTGATACCATTCAAATCCTATTTATTTACATATCTAACACTTTAACTTAAATTTTTTACAATTATTACCACCCAAATAAATTTTAAAAAAATTTAGCAAATTTTAATGCAAATAAAAAATTAATATAAAAAAGATATAAATAAATATTATTATTTTATTCTTTCAAGCCAAAGTGAGTCGAACATGAACGAAAAACCCTTGTTTGTGTTCAACTCGTGTATAAATCGAGCTCATAAAATTTGTTCTTGTTTGGTTTGCTTGCTGGCTGAGAGCCATGGTAGTAGCTGAGAGTCATGGTAGCAGTTGGTTATGTGGGTCGCAGGTGGTTGCTTCAGGAGCATTGATTTTTCATGGAGGTTGTGATAGGAAGTTAGAGAAACTGTAAGTCACACGGGTTGTAGTGGTGAGTTGTGATGACGTCTGTAGGTTGCAAAGGTTGGAGTCCGGAGCTGCAGTGGCTTGAGTCAAAATTTGCACGAGTCGTAAGCCACTCAGGCAGTAATTAGTCATCTATGTTGTAGTGGTGAGCTGTGATCGTAAACCACAGAGGCTCAAGTTGGGAGTTCATGAGCTATAAGTCATGTAGGTCATAGTTGATCACGTAGGTTATAGAGGTGAGTGAGGATGATGTTCGTAGGCCGCAACGACCAAAATCTGAACGAATTGAAGAGATTCCATCGATCAGATGTTGTTTGATTATTATTTGAGTGTTTTAATATAGTCAGAATTGAGCAATCTTAGAATCATTGGATTTGCCTCATCAAGACCCTCAATTTGACTATAAGCTTATCGAA